TTGCCCTTGCAACCACATCTTGGAGATGGCATTTTGTGCCACGTGAGAATTATTTTTAAAGTATCACTTCATTTTAATAGAGAGGATTATAAAATTCAGTTCTCTGAAGTATCGGCATTTCTGCCTTGATGATTTGCTGGAACATTTCTCTAGACAAATAAGTACAGAACTTACTTTTTTTGCCTGAAATATTGAAGTAGTTAAGGTAAAAATAAATTACCTGGATCAGTGATTCTCAATTCTCTATGCTCATTAGAATTCCCTGGGAAGCTTTTAAAAATTACAGATCCCAGGTCCCCTCCCCTAACCAACCAAAACAGGGAGCCAGACTTTGGCATTGTTCTTTTTAAAAAAGCTCCCTAGGTGATTCTAATTCATAGCCAAGGTTAGAACATCGATCTAGATAGTTCAAGGCCAAAAAACTAAAAATAAATAAATAAATCCCTATTTGTGTTTTAATTTGAAGCATAATGAATATTGCTTTAATGTCATTTGTTTTAACACTACAGTGCTCCAGGTTGCCTGTAGTTTTAAATCTAAACATTTTAAAAGTGCAGTTAAGCCCTTTTACAGTCTATTCTCAACTGATTTTTCAGGTCTCATCTCCTTACAATCCTATTTCAATCCTATGGAACTCAAAGTATTCAAACACTCCTTGCACTTTTTAATGTTTTTAGCTTCTTGCTGTTTTCTTTCTGTCATACCTGAAACTCCTTCTATACTTAGCAAAATGCTACTTATCCTTAAAGGCCAGCTTGAAAGTCACTGCCTTTGTGACACTGGGCTAATCATAATATATTTTATATAATGCTGATTTGTATAAATTCAAATCACTTGACTATTTTCCTGAAGATACAAAATCTCATTACTAGCAATAAGGGCACAATCAGTAATACCTCCCTTCAAACTTTAAGTATATATCCATCATATTGTTGCTTAGTTACTCCAATAGCAATAATTATGTCAGTATATAATACCAGAAGGAGGCATTTGATTTAGGTTATGAATTACTTCACACAGACATTTGAGTTATGTTCTCAACAGTTGCTAATTCCAATATGTTTTATTCCAACTCTTTGAAGGATTTTAAAGAAGGCCATAATGTTTCATTTTTTTGTTTGTTAAAAATGGGACTCTCCAGACTTTAAACAAATTAGAGATATTTAAAATATTAGGACACATCTATATTTTTTTGATATGCTGAATTTTCACATATCAATTTTGGTCACAGTTTGTGTTTTCAGATAGAAAATAAGTGGACATAACTTCTTTTTCTTTCCTCCTTTTGGCTTTCAAGCTACAGGAAGCCAGTTTGCTAACTCCCTGATACCTGATATTTCCCTGACTAAAAAGATTATCTGATGACGATCAGCATTTTCCCCAAGACAGAAGTCCTGAATTTTCTTCTTCCTAAAGATACGGATGTCCCTTAAAAGGGTCCAGAATATTTCCTGCAAAACTGCCTGTCATGTGAGCAACTATTAGAGCTACTATCAGAAAGGTTGAGGGAAGAAATAAATGCATTCTGCAACACGGAAAACAAATGCACTGTAAAATAGGCCAAGAACTGGAACATCAGCAAGATTACAGACCAGAAGGAAAAAGCAAATAACTTTAAATGAAAATTTGATTAAAAAAAAAACCCAAAAACCTTATTTAGTTCCCTAGTTTGTCTTCCCACTTGCTTACTGCTGGAATTTTGTGAACTATACGGATGATAGAGAAGCATTTGTGCTGATATTCTGAATTTGCTTATTTGTTAACTTAGGAGGGTGATTGGTTTGTTAGGCTGACTTATTGTGGAGTCTATACACATTGCAATTTATATATAGACACAAACAGAAAAGTTACTTCTCAGGACAATTTCAGGATCTCTTCAGGTGGGAAAAATTTCTGTAATTGAGAAGGTACTCTGCTTTTAGGCAAAGGCCCATAACATGCGGGAAATTCCAAGTCTTTATTTATCATGACCCCGGATTCTCCATCAAACCCAATCCCAGCTGAGCTGCAGGCAATACCCCCGTTGGGTGCGGACTGAAGGCCTACCACTGGAGGGCGTCTGGACGCTTCCAAACAGCTCTGAAGCGCCTGGAAATCCCGAGCTCCAGCACTGGAAAGCGCACGCAGGACGAAGAACGTGTTATTTGATTTTATTGGGCTAATAAGTAAAGGGGAGAACAGGCAAGTTTGGGAGCAAAACTAGACTGCTTTCTTTCTTTCTTGGGCTCAGCACTTTCCCACTGAGGCAGCAAACTCACTAGAGAGCAAGAGTAAAATAATACCACGCAGGCCCAAGCGCGTGGAGGCCCGTGAGGGCGAGTCTCCAGGGTTTGTGGCTCCGCTGCGCCAGGCGCCTGGCTTTCTTTCCAGGCTCTGGAAGACAGGGGGACGCGCCTTGCTATCAGGCAATAAGCGCTTCAGTGGAGGCCGGGGGCTGTTGCAACCTGCTCTAGAAGTCCGGGAACGCGAGGCCTTTCCCAATAATGAGGGAACTCGTTTCTCGACTTCTCGGACCCAGGTTTCTTGCTGTACCGACTTCGTTCAAAGCATTTATCCTTTGGGGGAGTGGTAGCATACCAACCTCGAGGTTGAAATGGGAAAGGTATAACGTATTACGGGCTCCTCGGCCGCACTCATTTCTTCCCTGCTGAAGGTCCGTACTGAATGGTAATCACTCTACACCGTGATTTTCCTCGATTTAAAAAATGTATGTTCAGAGCGTCACTTTAAAAGGAAAGTCTTGTTTCCTGCTTGTGAACCTT